GCCCTCTCCCCGCCCGGCCCTCTCCCCGCCCCGGCACGGGAAACCCTGAGGAAACCCTCGCATCCATTATCCAGAGTAGCCAGGCACGTTAAAAATTGCTGCCGAAATATATACACATAAAAACAAAGGGCTGCTTAGAGGCACTGCCCCACCAGTTTGCCAAACCTTCCGTTTTGCTACCGGTTTTTTTTTTTCTCAAGGCTCTAAACATCTTTTGCCGTAGCTGCATCGCTAAGAAAAATGCTCAGACGCCTGTGGTTTGGTTCAGTGGTTTATTTTCTCTAGCACACAGCAATACAGTAACAGCTACAGTGACCATATATACACACACACCAAAAACGTACTTTAAATTTAAAAAAACAACCAAAGAAAAACAACCCACATTCTATTAAAACAACTGTTTTCTGCTTGTGGAAAATAGAACGACCCAGTTTTTCCATAGAGATTTTAACTGCACGTGTGTCTCAGTTCAGGCAGCAGGAGAGTCTCTGTGATTCTATTTCAGCCTTTGAATTCACAGCCTGGGCTGTGTTTTATATGAACATAAAGGAGTTGCATTCCCACAGCACACGTGGCGTCACATTTAGGGACAAAGGATGAGAGAAACCGTACCAGCACCTGATCCCCACAGACCAGGCAGGGGAGAACTTGAGAACTTCCACACCTTTGCTCTGACTCCTGCTGCCCAAAATTAAAACCACTTCTGTACAAACACAGGCCAAAACCATTAGAATATGTTACAGAAATAAACCAAACCAAAAATGATTCCAGCATTTTTGCCTATTCTGTTCACCTGCACCTAGCACAGGCACTAAAGGCAGCTGTAACAGCATACAAATTAAGGTCTGTACCATTATTAAGCTACAGATGGATGCACAAAGCAGACACTTACATTTATTATCCAGAGTAGCCAGGCACATTAAAAACTGCTGCAGAAAAATATGCACATAAAAATAAAGGGCTGCTTAGAGGCACTGCCCCACCAGTTTGCCAAGCATTGAGTATTTCCAACACGAGTACATTGCAAAAGATGCAGATTCTACTTTGTAAGGCCAACAAAGATAAACAACAAAACAAACAAACCAGCCCAGAACAAACAGAACAACCAGCATTTTGTCATCCTGCTGATACAAAACTACAGCAAATTTTAGTCTATAGCCTTCTTAGTTATCAGTTCGGACAGCTGCCTGTCATGGACATTTCTCCATTAATGATCAAAGAGCACTGAATGGATGGAATGTTTGTGTACAGGATAGAGACATTTCTGCTCTAAAGGCAATTTTTTTTTTTTTTTTTATTCCTAAATTAGCAAGGGGTAATATGTGGATATTTTAATAATCAAAAGCCAGCCAAGAACCCACTGGAAACACTGAAAATTGTAGATTTATTTCCATTATTTAGTCATTAATCTTAAAATCTCCTGAACAACAGCAGGCTACCTGCCCACTTCCTGTGTCATATCCAGAAAAGAGAAATCCAGCTCAACTGGCAGCTATTATGGCTGTAGGCTAACAGAAACCAGCAGTGAAAAATTCAAAGCAAACTGAGCTCATCCATGACTGAAATCCCCCAGGACTACAGAGATGCCAGATTTCTGTAGCAGCCAGGGTTGCAGTGCAGAAGGTGGAAGCCCCACAGGCTGAAGTGCACAGTATTTATGGAGTTTTCCCACACCACAGGTGAACACCATGCCCAAGCCCTAAAAAGCCTGCTAGGACACAGGGATGCATTAGAAGAGCTGACAGAAGTACACCTTTCTCAACCCTGGCTTCAAAGGAAGCACAGAAAAGAGGCATATTCACTTTTCTGTGAGCAGAAAAGTAAATCTCAATCTTGCTAACCTGAAGAAAGGCTGAAGGAAGAGAAGCTAAGTCCACTGGGTGCAAAAACTCATGTGGTACCCATTTCCCAACTCCTAAAACCCCCTCAAATCTCTCAATTAATTGAAAACATCTATTTCTGAGGTGATAGAATGGTTCCTGGCTTCCACTGTATGACAGACCAACAGACTGTTTTAATGTGTCATACATGGTATTATCAAACATTTATCTTGTTGTTCAAGCTTTTTATTCAGCTGATGATTTGAGGCAGTGGATCAGAAATAGGTGCTAACTGTTTTATTTCTGGGGTTTTTAAAGCTAGCTAGTAAGATAGCATAATTCTGATATTTATTCATCATTAAAGAACTTTGACATGTTCACCTTCCCTGCAAATGCAGATTTATTTTACTATTGGTTTTTTCAACCTTCTTCCTTCAGTGACATTCAGGGTGGTTAAACATATTAAGACTGTAGGCTTAAACTACATACAATTATTATCTTTAACACCTTGCTTCTCTAGATATGCTACCAAAGAAATTTTCTTATTTTGGATTTCTCAGCTTTAGTTCTTGCAAAAAAACATAGCACAGGTTTGTGTGCAATCACACTGAACTAGAGGTAGGCAGCTCTCCCACTCAGCTCATTTTCCCAAAGTAAATCAACACTTTACTTCAGGAAGCTTTTGTAGGAAACGACTGTTTATCTCAGCCTGTAGCACTCCTCCCCCTTGAAATCAAACAGGCTTTAATACACCTTTGTCACTTCAGGCAGCTTAAGTGGGATACAGCACTGCTTTTAAAGTCTTTTTGAAGGGATCCTTAAAGCTTTGGCAATTTAAGAGCTGGACTTCTGTTGCTGATTTGAGAAACCAGTGAAGAGCAACTCGTATCAGAATGGATGAAACCAGTCAAACATTTGATGTAAACACTTAGGATATGGTTTTACATCAATTTGTTCGCAGTAGAAACCAACTGGAATATGACATAGGAATCCACAAGCTACTGAGAGAACCAGCACCACCACAAAGGATGGAATGGACTTATCTGCCTTTCTGTATAAACCAGGTGGATGCAGAAGAGATGAGTTTTTACCAATAAATATATGCTAACCATTACATGTCTTGTCCTTGTTTTACTTTGCTCACTGTGCTTTGTATCCACTGATTTTAACTGTGCTAAAATAAAAACCACTGTTGTTTTACTTTTGTAAACCAGCAAAACCAATGAAGTAAAAAAAATCACATATAATTACATACAGTAAATAAATTCAGTAAAAAAACAACCTACCCCCCCCCAAACAATACAAATAATATAGATTTGGCCATGTTTTACTAAGTACCACTTTCCAAGTACCATAAGCAATGCTAAATCCCAAGTAAAAAAAATACAATTAAAAACAAACAAACAAAACTCAAACAAACCCCAAACTTTACAGTGTTCCTTTCTATCAGGCAAGAAGGGAGGGAAGTACACAACAACAAAGCACACAAAAAAAAATATCTAGTCTATATCAAATGTACCTTTCCAATAAGGAAATTCGTAGAAAAAACCTCTACCACATATAATTTAACACCAAGGTGTCTTCCTGGCAACCAGGATTACAAGTTTATGCTGAATACAATCTTATGTTCAAATACTGAGATAAGCAGCATTATCCCAAATCCCAGGAGAATGCCAGCATTCTGTAACAGGAAGTATCCCCACCGGCTACATCCATGGTCACTGGCATCATTGTGGAGCATTTCAGGTACCTAAACAAACAAGGAGGTGTTAAATACCTTCAAAAGAAACAGCTGCTTCAAATCATTAATTCTTAAGCTGTGTTACACAAATTCAAACAGGTCCAGGCACTTACCATATCCACAAGAGCCACATACATGAACAAGCCAGCAGTAAGTGCAAATATCCACATTGAAACGTTGTCTGCATAATGACCAATGAGGATCCCAGTGGCCATCCCAAGGTAGGCCAGCATAGCTGACAGAGCGTTGTAAAGCACAGCTTGCTTGACAGTCATACCAGCTTTTAGGAGGACAGCAAAATCTCCTATAACAGGGGAAAAAAAAAGCCAAGACAAAGTTTTTATTCTTGGGTAGGTACTGCAGTGTTGTCTTATTTACTAAGCTACTTTTATGCTGGTATTTGCCTTATTTTTTTTCCTTCATGAAGTCAGAAATCACTGAGGGACAGAAATTTAAAGGGTGCACATGAACAACAACACAGCAGCAAATACTGTAAGTTTATAATTTTAAAGTCTTTGCATTTGGGAAAGAAGCAGCTTCTTGCTGAATCACAGAACATCCTGACTTGGAAAGGACCCAGAAGGATCATCAAGTCTAACCCCTGGCCCTGCACAGGACAGCCCCAAGATCACACCATGTGCCAGAGAGCATTGTCCACACGCCTGGAACACTCAGCCTTGGGGCTGTGACCACTTCCCTGGGGAGTCTGTTCCAATGCCCAAACACCCTCTGGGGTGAGGATTTTCACCCTCTGGGTGAAAAACACTGTCCCAATATCCAACCTATATCTTTCTAGACACAGCTTCAGGCCATTCCCTTGGATCCTGTCACAGGAGAGAAGAGATCAGTGCCTGCCCCTTGTCTTCCCCTCATGAGAAAGCTGTAGAGTGCAATGAGGTCTCCCCTCAGTCTCCTCCAGGCTGAACAGACCAAGTGACCTCAGCTGCTCCTCTAATGGGTTCCCCTCCAGCCCCTTCCCCATCTTTGTACCCCTCCTTTGGATGGTCTTGAATAGCTTCATATCCTCAAGCAGT